CCCACAAACTTGAAACTCCCATACGGCATCAGGCTGATGGTCTCCACTCACTACTCTTGTGTATTACGTCGTGCGAGACAAGAGACGTTCTTGTCTAAAACGGGTTGACGTGCACAATAGCAACTCCTTTTGTTCCTTTTCTTGCCATGCCGCATAAAAGGGCACGCATACTAGCAAGTGACGCTTCCCACTTCACTCCGCGCAGGTCGCCCCTTCCTCTCGTTTATCTTAATGACGGTTTTCTATATCATGTCCACAGCGTTAGATCTGCTCGCCAACACTGCGCTTGATGAGATGGTCGTGGATCATTCCGACATAAGCACCCTCTCATCATCCGCGCTGTCCTCTGAAGCATCTTCGAGCCCTGTGGGCAAACGGCAACTCCGGTCAAGGAGGTCTACTTCCCAAGCTCCCAAGCGCGGCAAGATAAATCCCGAGCTGCAGCGGCGCCGGAGGGAGTTCAAGGATCGAGCCATGAATATCAAATCTCTCCAGAACTCTCCTGTGAATGGCCAACAACTTGAAGTTCTCAAGATCGTGTTTGATGAGGTGGGGACCGCGGCTGATTGATCGCACAGCGACACTACTGAGTCCCGCACAGATTACCATGCATCCCATTGATTCGTGGGTTTCCATCATGGCTATCGTTCTCAACAGGTGCTTTTCTTCGTTTTCATCTACCGTCCGACGCTGAGTCTGCATAGATCCTTCCGCCAAGTCAAAAACTGGTTCAGCAACTGCAGGTGGGTGTTTGCATCGCACTCCAATTTGATACCCGATCCCAACAATTCAACAGACAGAAGCATCGACGCGGAGAGCTGACCGCCGTATATTCTGACGTCGGAGACTGTCTGCGACTCAGGCCCTCCGCCTTGTTGATCTCAGCAGACTGGTCCGATCAATGCTTCGAGGAGTTCTTCATGATCGTCCACTTCTGGAAGCTACAAAAAGCGCGCACACAATCACACGGACCATTCACGATCATTCACGACATGAAACTCTAAAACACAACGGCCATGTTGTACTCATGCGCTACTTACACCACACACACTAATCGCATACCTCGTAAATCACTATACGTAATCTTGTATTCACTAATCCCGTTTGTATCATCATCATCGTTGAGCTTGACCCTAACGTCCCTTCCGCCCGATGCCGGCTTTGTATTCTGCCCTCGCTGTCGTGGGACTAGGGTGGTATGCAGCCTTGTGGAGCATCGGCCTGCTAGGTTGTTGGGCCGCGTGAGTCATCTGAGGCTGCTATGCACATACACCTGATTTTACCACCACCAAGTCGAAAACGATACCGCCTACGACCGCGCTCGCCGCTAGCAAGTGCATCTCCGACTACTGTCCCTGGTGTCTCAATTCTGAGACCACTCAAGGGACTCGATACGAACCTTTACGAAAACCTTCAATCGACTTTCGTCCAGGAGTACCCGAATTTCGAAATCTTGCTCTCTGTGGCCGACAAGCATGACCAGGCGCTGCCTGTTGCTCAGGAACTCATGGCAAGATATCCTTCGGTGAATTGCAGGATCATCATTGGTATGAACAAAACCGCACTCCATCCACGACGCATGGGTAGAACTGAGAGCCTACAGGGGAGGAAGTCGTCGGGGTGAATCCCAAAGTCAACAACCTGATGCGCTCGTACCGGGAGGCCGCTAACGACATACTCTGGGTCATCGACTCGAATGTCACGGTGCATCCGGGCACATTAGCTCGTTCCGTCGATGCTCTCGTGGGCCCACCCTCCACCTCACCCCGCAAACGGATAGCCCTGGTGCACCATGTTCCTATCGCTGTTGTCACAGAGCCGCGGCTCGGTTCGCGTATTGAGGAAGCCTTCCTGAACACCAACCATGCCAAGATGTACATCGCTATCAATACGGCGGCCATCGAGTCCTGTGTCATGGGCAAATCGAACCTGTACCGGCGCTCAGACGTGGAGCGCATCAACGGGTCCCTGAAACCCTTGACCTCGGACGCGGATCCTGGCGAGCGCGGCCTGGCTGCTTTCGGGCGGTTCCTCGCTGAAGATAACATGATCGCCACTTCGTTGTGGCACGAGCTGGGCGACCGACACGACTTGTCCTGTGATGTCGCGCGCAACGTCGTTGGCAACATGACGCTGTCGGACTACATCTGGAGGCGGGTGCGCTGGATCCGCGTGCGGAAGCATATGGTGTTCGGAGCGACGCTGACCGAGCCGTTCACCGAGTCTGTCGTCCTTTCGCTGATCGGGGCCTCGAGCCTCCACTACTTGTTCGGGCTCCCCGTGTGGATCGCGTTGTGTGCGCACTACATCGCATGGATATCTGTCGACCTGGATGTCTACGCCTCCTTGGCTGGTCATCCGCTACCTTCGTCCCACGCATGGCCCTTCGCAGCAGCATGGGCTGCCCGCGAGCTGCTCGCTTTGCCCATATTCCTCTACGCTATCTTTGGCAGCGAAGTTGTATGGCGGGGGACTCGATATCGAGTCCTTACTAACGGAGAAGTGGCCAAGGTGGAAAACAATCCGTCCTGGTTTCAGCGCTTGCGGCAACCCAAAAACTATGATCCACTGCCAAGTTCCCAATGACTGTTGTAATTGCATTGTATAGCACATAATGAATGACTGCCAGCTCAACTTTTCAAAAGTCGAGTTCATCTTCCTCTAGGCCGAAGAGATCCAAAGTGTTTTTGAAAGCCTTCTCAGCCACCTTCTCCAAAGGCACGTTCAACAATTTGTGCATCACCCAGGCCACTGCGCCAGTAGCGCAGGGCTCGTTTCTGCCCTTGACGGCTTTGCCTGCAACGAAGCTTTCTGGTTTGACAGAGGGAGCCAGATACAAGTCTCGCATGGCTTGGGGAAGAGACGAGAGTTGTTCTTTCGACGCGTGTCCCCCAGTCATGCTGCACCACGGCGCATCTGCGCAACATGAGGGTTCCAGAGGGGCAAAAAGTCGATCCGATATGTACCTGTTTCGAGCAGTATCCTGTCCGAGCGAATGGTAGCCGCAGCCTTCAGGTTTTCTTCGGTTTTGAGTGAGCAGCCATTTATGCTGAGATGGAAGCCCATCGTCATCTGAAGACGTGTGAGCTGATGGAGGCCAGTGTGTCAAAGCATTTCTGCTGCTCACCAACTCAGCAGCCTCGGCAAGAGATCCGGTGAAGCTGTGGACCACGCCGAATTTCCCGGAAGCATCGCCGAAGCCTTCTTCACGAAGGATGCGCACAAAGTCGCCATGAGCTGCTCGGGAATGCAGGAAAAGCGGCAGTTGATGCTTTTTGGCCAGGGACAGCTGCGAGCGGAAATGCTTCTGCTGCACTTCCTGGCTTGCGAAATGGAGTCGGTCGTAGTCTGACGGTGTTCAGAATAGGTTGAAATATGTCGAGAGAGATAGAGAGAGGGCTACCTAGACCACATTCGCCAAGGGCAACAACGCGCCCTTTGCCTTTCAGGTTACCCGCTATCAACTCATCCAGAGCTTGGAGATACGCGTCCGGACCACCCTTGAAGCTTTCAAACTCGCTCGATCGAGTGGGATGGCATCCGACGGTGCAAAATAGGCCTACAAAATCAGTAAGTTTGAGACATGGATGAAGTTTGGAGAATTGCCTAGTTCTTTGGCTAGTTTGAGCGCTTCGCGAGATTCGCGAAGGCTTGTTCCAGTGATGATCATGCTTTTGACGCCCGCTTTGCGCGCGCGTTCAAGCATGTGCTCCAGGTCATCTACGAATTTTCAGACTGAGAAGAACGTAGGGGAGAGCGAGATATGCACCCTCGTGCTTCTTCTTGCCATGGTATTTCCCTCGAAAAACAGGGTCCGTGAGATTGACTGTTGTCCTCAGTTTCCACCTTGCAACTCTTGGGAGTGAAATAGCTCGAGCTCATACCACCGATGTCGATGTATTTCAGATTCTTTAGGAGTGAAGTGTCGACTTCGGCAGGGCGTGCCATCACGGTGACCGGCATAGCTCGAGTGTGCGGTGAATGCGTTGTACGGAGTGTAGGCTGGAGAATTCGAGCGCAACGAGAAGGGGCGCGTAGCATAAATGAATATTTCGGTCTCCCCACCGCAGCGAGCGGTGAGACGCTCAAAGGGAGCGCCTGCCGAGAACAAAGGCACCCCTGGCAGACGGGGGAGAGGATATAGCTACCTCAAAAGTGTAGAATCACAAAGCATACGAGGAATGCTACACACCCGAACAAAAGAAAAGTCAACGTGTAGTAATCACGCAGTACAATACAAGGGAAAAGAACTACCACAAACGAACACGAAGTGGAAAACGCGGAGCAGACACGAGGAAATACGGAACATGTGGCCCAAAGATCCAGCAGGGCAAGACCTAGCCGTCGGCTGAAAAAACCAGAACCGTGTAGAAAACCACACGCACCCACACGCACCCCATCCCTCCTCCAGCCCCAAACCTCAATACGCTGGCGGACACAACAGCACAAAGTGCTGAAAAGTCAATAAAAACAACAACAGGAGAGTTCCAAGCTCCCAGGAACCGCCGAGACCACGAGCGACCCTCCCCCGGACATCGGAAAGGAGCCACACGGCAGCAAGGAACACACTCACCAACAGAAACAAAACCGCCCCACCGTCCCGCCCAGCCTCTCCCCCCACACGCCACTGGCACATCTCAGGTCGAGCAACAGACAGACATAGTCCACGTTGGCCAACAGACACCCCATACCGAAGACTGCCCCATACAAGCCAGACACACGCAAACCGTAATCCGTAGCCCAGAGGTGGCAGAAACACAGGATTCCGCCATGGAGGACGAACCCTACGTACACCCCACAGCGGACGAATTCGCAGAATCCGAGGCGGAAAACCGCACCTCCAACCCACACCTGAAACTCGTCGACGAGAGACCGACCCCCAAATCGAACTCCAAGGGGAAGCGGCCTTCCAGCGAGTCCAAGGGGGTGTCTTCCCGGCACACCACATCGCCGAGCGCAGACTCTGGGAAGGGGTGGACTCAAACCAGAAGAAACAAATAATGGACTGGGGCACAGACCAGGTCGTCGTGCTGGTGTTTGCCCTCGGGGGCCAACACTTCTTCAACAAGATGCCAGCGGGCAGAATCGAGACCGACGTCAAGCTCTCCCTGACGGGTATCATAGGCAGCAAAGTAGTACACTACTTCGCACCGCTCTTCGACCAGGCCACCACCGGAGGAAAGTACCCCCCACCTACAGTCGCATTCCTACGCTGCGAAGACCGGGCCACAAGAGACACCATCCTCGAAGAACCGTTCATTGCGGTCAACGACTGTGTGGCATATTGGCCGACACGCCTAGCGACAACCCCATCCGAGGCAAAACGAAGCTGGACTCTTGCGTACTTCGAGATGTCGGCGACGACGGACACAAACGAGATGACCGGACAGATCCGCAGCGCGGTGCGAGAGAGAATGCACACGGACAAAGAGATTGTGCGATTCCTCGACCGCATGACCCAGGCAATGACCGGATCACTCCACAAGCGCATAGACTTCATCGCACTCACCATAGACGCGGTATACAAACACGACGAGAACAAATCCATCATGGTGGTTTACATGGACTCAGCATACGGAACGGAAGACGAGCAGCTCACCCTCCGCGGGATGCTCCGGGCCGAAAATTACATTGTAAGCGCAATCCGATACACCGCCGTCGTGGACATGTACGATGGCTCCATCAAAACATGTGTGATATGCAAGCTCGACGACCACCCCTCACGAATGTGCCCGTTCACAGCAGCCAAATGGTGGGGCCCACCCGACCAATTCTCTGGGCTCCCCCCCAACCACCCCCTCAAGATAGCGGCAAAAACACAGCACCGCAACCAACCCCTGAGAGGAGGACCCAGCCGAGGTGGAGGCCGAGGTGGAGGCCGTGGAGGCCGTGGAGGCCGATTCAGAGGAAGAGGCGGCAGATGATCAACTAAAACAGGCACGCTATACCTAACTCCCCACTCACTATAGATCAATACTATGTTTGCTCCCCTTCTAAAGCCCGTCTGACATGAGCAGCACCCGCAGAAACCTAGGGCAACCCGAGTCTGGGCTCGGAAGAAGACGCTTGCGGTAACGGTGCGACCGCAAGCGCGACCCAAACCCGCCAAATATACCGGCTACGCTCGCAAGTGCGTAGAACGGGAAACGGGGGAGGGAACGCGTGTACTACCAGCAACTCCGGTTGCGGGTAGGATACGCCGCAATGGCGGGACCTATTTAGGTCGGAGTCCGCCTGTCAGCAGTCCTGACATGCTTCGAGTAAGTCGTTCCGCACCCATGAAGCGTAACGATGCACTCTCTAGCAACTCCACCCCAAGACCTTACGAGACGGGCCTAAGCGAAGCCCATATCGTGTCGACACCACGCTACTGAGGGATTAAATCACAACACCAGATTCGCTCACAACGAGCAACCTACTTTGGATGAAAACACGGGAAGACCGGCATCGATGACCACGCCATCCCGAGGGAACCCTGGCTCCGCCACCGGCCTCGAGACGCCCAATGACGGAGAACGTGTTGGAGGGGATATAACAGACCGTCGCCCGGAGGTTACTCGGGACGATGGCCAACCTCCTGCCGGAGTAGACACGCCCCGAGAAACCAATGATGGGCGCCGGGACACAACTCAAGCTACAATAGGCAGACTTGAGGGGACCAATAGCGGTGCTGAAGTGCAAAGAGCACAAGGGACCCAGAGAGAGGCCCCTCCCCGAGACATGGGAACCGCACCAGGCGGAAACGTCGAAAGGACGAGTGGGAACAGGAACGAACCTATCCCACGAGATACTGAAGCAACACAAAACAGAGATCAGAACAATCGAAATGAGCTAAACAGAGACAGCCCACCTGTACAGCAACAGATGCAGAGACAGGACGCACCCCAGCGTATATACCCGGGCCCAGAAAAGCCGAGAACTGCAGGACAGAACGGAGTGAAAACCATGAGAGCTGCGCTAAAGATAGCAGGACTCAATATTCGAGGACATGGAAACATGAATGTCCACCATCCGCACAATAAGTGGTTTGGAGTGTGGCAGATCCTTCGAGAAGAGAAGATTGCGGTGCTAGTCGTCAGCGAAGCACACATGAACCAGGAAAGGAAAGACGAAATTGACAAACTTTTTAGCCGCAAAATGCGGATCGAATTCACAGAGAACCCAAGGTCGGTTAACTCAGCGGGCCTGGCGTTTGTAGTAAACAAAAATATGGTCAAAACAGATGGGCTACTGACGCACGAAGTAGTGCCGGGAAGAGCAATGCTCATTGAGCTGAAGCACGCGGATGGGAGCCCGTTGTCAGTACTTGGTATCTACGCACCAAATAACCCAGTAGACAACAAAAAATTCTGGGAAGACATCGACAAGTTCTTCACTGACCATCCTCGGATGCGTAAACCAGATATGATGGCAGGAGACACAAACATTGTAGAGGCAGCAGTGGACAGACTCCCCGCACACGAAGATGACAAGAACGCCGTCGATGCTATAGACGAACTTAAAACAAAGCTACGACTCATAGACGGATGGCGAGCAACGTACCCAGACACTAGAGAATACACGTGGAGGCAACCGGCAGCCCTCGGAGGATCCCTATCCCGGATAGATCGAATATATATCAAATCGTCAGCCTTCAACGACTCCTTTGACTGGGGAATCAAACGAGTGGGAATTGAGACCGATCATGACATTGTATGGGCAAAAATAACCACACAAGAAGCACCAACAGTGGGCCGAGGGAGATGGGCCTGGCCAGCACATATACTAAAGGATAAACCCCTAGCCGAGTACATCCATGAATGCGGTCTCGAATTAAGTGCCAAACTCAAACACCTCCAAACGGAGACCGAAGTAGGAAGAACAAGAGAGATAAACTCGCAAACACTGTGGGCTGACTTCAAAACAAAGATTGGCTCCAAAGCACGGGAAAGAGCAAAGCAAGTGATCCCTAAAATCATACAAGAAATCGCAGAACTGGAGCTCAAACTAGAAAGTGTCTTCAAAGACGAAGCAATGCCAGATGAGGAGAAACACCTGAACGCAGCGATGTTCATCGACCAACTGGCTAAACTGCAGAAACAACGCTATAGATCGAACAGGCTATCTGCCCAGATCCAAAACAGATTGCACGGTGAGATAATTGGAAGATACTGGTCGAAGATAAACAGACCAAGCAAACCACGAGACACGATTCATAGGCTAAGAAAGCCACCAACCTTCCAAGACCCCACCGCTCCCATAGAATACGAGACCAACTCGAAAAGAATGGCCGACATGGCGAGAGACTACCACAGCAACCTGCAAGAGGATCGCCGAGACATAGACACCCTCACACGAACAGAGACCATAGATAGGGTTCTCGCAAAGACGCAGACCAGAACATCCGAGGAGCAAAACGAAAAACTAAAAGCAAAGACATCCTTAGATGATGTGAGAAACGCACTAAAATCATCAGCAAACTTCAAAGCACCAGGGCTAGACGGAATCCCCTATGAACTATGGAGAATCCTCGATGACAGATACGCAACTGCCATGAAAAACGAGAAGCCAGCGCTCGACATACTAAGCTGCCTCTGTGCAGTATACAATGACATCGAAAAGCACGGAATAATAGCCGGTACAAGATTTGCCGAAAGCTGGATGTGTCCGTTGTATAAGAAGAACGATAAGACAGACATAGCAAATTACAGACCTATATCATTGCTGAACACCGACTACAAAATCTTCACAAAGGCCCTGTCAATTAAGCTAGCGGAGATTGCACCTGACCTGATTCACCCGAACCAAGCAGGCTTCGTGAAAGGGAGGCAGATCAAAGATCAGATATGGCTAACAAAAAGAATCATAGAAATGGCAGAGGTAACAGAAAAGAACGGAGTGATTGTCGCACTAGACCAGGAGAAAGCCTATGACAAAATTGAGCACGACTACCTATGGAAGGCCCTGAAGAGTTATGGGATCCCGGACGAATTCATTAATACCATCAAAGCACTATACGGAGATGCACACACATATGTCATGCTCAACGGCGAAAAGAGCAAGAAGCCGTTCCAAGTAACAAGAGGAGTACGTCAAGGAGACCCACTCTCCTGCCTCCTCTTCAACCTTGCCATCGAACCATTAGCTGAAGCGCTACGCCAATCCAACCTGAAAGGAATAAAAATCCAAGGGAAAACCGAAAGACTGATAGCCACACTGTTCGCGGACGACACCATGGTATACCTCGACTGGGAGGACGATTTTGGAACACTCCTTGACGTAATCGACGAATGGTGCATTGCATCAGGAGCTAGATTCAATATTAGCAAAACGGAGATGATCCCAATCGGCAAAATAGAGCACCGAGACAGAGTCAGAACCAACCACTTCGTGAATGGGATGGACGGCACCATGATCCCAGACCACATCCGAATCGCAAAAGAAGGGGAACCAGTCCGATGCCTAGGAGCATGGATAGGAAACAATATACAACAAGTAGATACGTGGACACGCACCCTGGAGAAAATCGATGAAGCACTGGATAGATGGGACCAGGGGAACCCGTCGATGGCAGGACGAAGACTGATAGTGCTGATGGTGGTCGGAGGAATGACACAATACTTGGCCACGGTCCAAGGTATGCCAAAAGAGATCGAAGAGAGACTCGAAAAGAGGATCCGCAAATTCATCTGGGCTGAGAAAGAACGAGTCACCATTAACCAAGAAACGGTATACGCACCAGCTGAGATGGGGGGACGAGACCTAATGGACATAGTCGCACGCAACGAAGCAATAGCCATAATGTGGCTAAAAACATATCTTAACTTCGGAGAGGAAAGACCCCTCTGGTGCTTCGTCGCAGATGAAATCTTTGCTAGAAAGATGTCGTCAGAAGGGAACAACGTTGAACTATCAGTAAGACTGAACTCGTACCTGCAAGATTGGAAGCATAACGTATCACCAAAAAAGATTGGAGCGGACCTTGCAAGAATGACAGCAGCAGGAAAGAAACATGGAGTATCAATCGACGCAATCGCAGTGTCCCGAGAAATTCAAAACAGCATGGTAATATGGTACCACACGAAATCGAATGCAGACACCAAGATGTGGATCTACAAGAAAGAAACAATAAGATGTCTGAAAGAGAACCACAAAATGAGAACAGTGAGGGACGCAGTGGAGCTATCACGAAAAACTGGGACTACACGACATACAGCATCACGAACCTGCCAGTGCAATGCGTGCGTCATCACAAGGACGATAACGGGCTGTAGACACCCACACAAGTGTTACGAGAAGGCAAAGAACATGCTAGACTCGCTTGACCCAAAATGGGACCCAAGGAAACCGCAACCAGAAGACTATGAACACAGAATGACACCACAAACAGAGAAAATAGACGGAATAGAAACAATAGACATAGACCAAAGAATCACTACAACAGGCACTGTCGCAGATATCTTCCGCATCTTCACAGACGAAGAAACCAACCCAAGCAAAACCGCACCAGACCGAACACCCACAGAAGACCCTGAAAGCGAAACAATAGAGCTAGAGGTCTATACAGACGGCTCAGCAACGAATAACGGCAGAATGGGGACAAAGGCAGGCTCAGGGATCTTCTTCAGCGATGATGAGGACAGCAGTAAAGCGATCCGGATACCAGAGGAACTAGAACCCTCAAACCAAGTCGCCGAGATGCTAGCAATTAAAGAAACGGCCGAAATGTGTCCACCCGGAGCGCCGCTTCATATCAGATCAGACTCGATGTACTGTATCAACGGACTCACTAAGAGCCTTAAGAAGTTGGAAGACACAGGGTTCTTCCTAGCTGCAAACGGAGACTTAGCAAAACTGACAATCACAAAGATCAGGAACAGAAGAGCAAGAACGAGACTCACATGGGTGAAAGGACACACCGGTGTCCATGGAAACGAAGCGGCGGACAGACTAGCGGACGCAGGACGACAAAAAGAAAACGCAGACATCATAGATACATGCGTGGATAAATCGCTAATCCTTCCTGGCGCGAAGCTAAAAGCGATGACACAATCGACTGTATACAAAATTATCAGAAGAAACAAAATGAGGACGGACAAGTACCAAGACGCACTGGAACGGAAGGCGACAAAACGTAACATGGAGACCGCACAGGAGGAAACCATTATCAAGGAACCAGAACCAAAAGGAGCAGCGACGGAAGCCCAAGTATGGATGGCCACCAGACACCGAGATTTCTCGAGAAGCGTGAGGTACTTCCTATGGATGCTAATCCATGACGGGTACAAGGTCGGAGAACACTGGAAAAGAATCCCAGGGCACGAAGAAAAGGCGCACTGTAGCCACTGCGGGGAAGACACCCTTGAGTCCATGAAACATATCCTCCTGGAATGCGAAGCAACGGGCCAACAAGAGATATGGAAACTAGCCTGTAAACTATGGGAGATGAGAACGGGATCTGCACTGGAACCCACCATAGGCAAGATAATGGCCTGCGGCGCCATCCAGCAAGAGGACGCAAGCCTATCCAGACTATTCCGCATCATCATCTCAGAATCGGCGCACTTGATATGGAGGATTCGGTGTGAACGTGTCATCCAAGAGAAAGATAACGCATCAACCACGGAAGTCGAGAGCCGATGGAAAAAAACGATTAACACAAGACTACTCATCGATTGTAAGATGACCAATGCGGCAAGATACGGAAAAAGATCACTCAAACCTTCTCTGGTCAAGAAGACATGGGCTAAGACCCTAAAAAACGAGGTAAACCTCCCGGACGACTGGACCAAGGGAGGCGGGGTTTTGGTGGGTATCGGTTAAAGGCAAGGATGGAGTTGGTCACCGACCAACCCCGGAGCCGAAGACCGAATCCCCACACACGACATCGCGGAAAACCGGATGTATCGTGCGTGTGACAACCGGTCACTAAGCGCATTCCCTCGCGTGGTATTTCCTCTGCCTGGCTAGGTTCTAAGTCCTCGGCCTCAAACTCAACGGATGTAAAGTATACGACTATGTTAGATACTTGACATCAATAAACGTTCCACAAAAAAAAAAAAAATAAATGAATATTTCGGCTCCGGCAAGTGAGTCAAACCAGAGCGTATGTGAGCGGTATGACTGCCTCTGACTATAAATTGCAAACAACAGGTATCAGTAGGGACGCAGGCGGCAATGTCCGCTACTTGAATCACACTATGCCAAATTGCATTTGCTATGGTGAGATATAGGGCTGCAATCCGCTACCGTTCGTCACAAACCGAACCATCCCACATTTTCTAAAATTTCAAATCTTTGTATGTTTTCATCGAAATAGCAATTTGAGACAAATGTCTTATCCGCTACTTGTGTACAACACACTCTTGATACTCTCTCTAGGTAGAGTAGGTAGGTGGGCAACTGAGGCTTGTTGTAAGGATCATCGATCATTGCACATGACTGGGAAGCGCTAGCGACTCATCATGAATGACTAAAGAAACGCTAGCGACTCATCATGAATGACGAATCCATGATGCTGAGTGAAAGCTTGAAACGAGCCCGGACAGACTGACAAGGTCCCCGAGACCCTTACCTAAAAGGAAGCGGAAGATCAACGTCCGCGATGGACACGGAGAAGAGCGTTTGGCCACAGTCTACTTACCGTGGCATATGATAATGTCAGGTGTCATTTGTACGCTCGGGCAGCGGAGTGCGTTCCGAGCCGATCCTCTCTCTTAACCACGCCCGCTAGTTACGAGTCCAATTCAACTTTTCTCTCCTTACTGCGCTATGGAACGGGTCAAGCAACTCGCCGCTCATCTCACGTCTGCTCGAACGGGTATCTCTGCCCTGGAGCAAAAGCGCCCTGATGACGTTGTGTGAATCGAGCCTCAATGCTCGGAGAGACCAGAAACTTATACGCCACAGGATTACGTTCGCAATGCGGTCGCCGCTCACTAAAGCCAAGCGAGGCGGATTGAAAGACGCAAGGTTCGGGTCGTCGAGGTTTCTGAGACGCACATGCTTACACGAACCAGGACGGATGAACTCATGCTTGAGATGTTCCTGGTGTGTGCTATTGGGAAGTACGCACTTTGAAGGACTCTCTTCTCAAACGAACCTCAAGGCAACCATCAAACATGCACAGATCGACCCGAAGATTGTCCAGGACATATGCGTGGGGACTGTGCTTACTCCGGACGCGCCATACCAGGCCAAAGCGGCTTCCTTGGCTGCTGGTTTCGACTCGCCAGTGCAGACTGTGAATCGATTCTGTTCCAGTGGTGAGTCCCCTCTCGCTCGCGCGTGCATTGGCGGGGGCCTGACCTGTTGTCAGGACTGATGGCGGTACGAGGCACCGCGCTCTGATGGGCCATCAACGACCCGGTTCTCAATCTTCGTGTAGGTGACCATCATCGCCAACCAGATTCGCAGTGGCCAGATAGAGGTATTTGACACATTCACATTGCTTTCTTTATCTGACCGGCCAAGGTCGGCCTTGCCCTGGGCGTGGAGAGCATGTCTGAGAAGTAGGTCCATATGTTTTGCCTGTCATGGTTGCTGGACTCTTTCCAGCCCGGACAATGGCGGACCCTCTCAGAGCGAGCTGATTTCCTGCCATCAAGCAGCAGCAGACTGCAAAGAAAGGATGGGCTGGACCTCTGAGAACGTTGCGTCCGAATTCGACGTTTCTCGCGCTGAGCAGGACGAGTATGCGGCGATGTCCTTCCAGCGAGCTGAGGCTGCCGAAAAAGCTGGTCTTTTTGCGAAAGAAATTGTGCCTTTCACCGTGTTCAGCAAGGACGCCAAGACCGGAGAGCGCACGAGAGTGACCATCGAAAAGGACGATGGGATCCGCTACGGGACTACTGTGCAGAGCCTTTCCAAGATCCGTGCGGCGTTCCCGCAATGGGGAAAGTCTACGACGACAGGGGGCAATGCCAGCCAGATCACGGATGGAGCAGCGTCTGTCCTGTTGATGACACGGCAGAAAGCCGAGAGTCTAGGGCTCCCGATTCTGGCGAAACACATCTCGACCGCCGTCGCTGGTACGTTCCACCCTTGAATAGCTGACGTTTTGTGTTCTGAAATCTTGTGCAGCGGTTCCTCCTCGGATCATGGGCATCGGTCCCGTATTTGCGGTGCCGATGGTCCTCGAGCAGTGTGGGATCACGAAAGAGGATGTCGATCTGTTTGAAGTGCGTCGCATGTCCACATCGAACTGCTTTCTCGGGTGCAGAACGTGGTTTCAGATCAACGAGGCTTTCGCGTCGCAGTGCGTGTATAGCGTGCGCAAGTTGGAGCTGCCTCTGTGAGCGGATCCCCACCATCCTGCTCGCTCACTCGCTTACTTTCATCCACAGAGAAAAAGTGGGTCGCTGTAAACCCTGATATCAGTTTCTGAACACATTTCAGGTCAACGTCAACGGAGGTGCTATCGCATTCGGACATCCTCTAGATGAGTATTCTCTTTCTCTGAAAATTGCAGAGGGCCTGACAATCTTCTCCCCGATACGTTGCACAGGAGCTCGCCAAATTGCTACCGGACTCAACGAGTTGGAGCGTCGCAAGGGAAAGGTGCGCTGTCCTCCTCATACTATCCTTGTTTGATCGATACTCACTCCAACTCAGATCTTAGTCACCTCGTGAGTAGCGGTTTTGATCGGGCTCAGTCCTGCATGCTGATGCGAACTATTTCAAAGGATGTGTATTGGAACCGGGATGGGTGCAGCGTCCGTCTTTTTGCGAGAGTACTAGGATATTTTTGTAGCCCTATTTTAAGAATCCATCAGATCTTGTTGGGCTTACTATCTACTGGAACGGCGACTCGTGAAGGACACTCCGTGACGTGCGGCGCTAATATTCTTGTCTGTTTGTCACGCACATGATGTGTGATCCTGAGAGTGACAGTGTCAATTTCATCCCTCTGCTCCTCCCTCCTCTCGTTGCTATTTGGACGTTGTGCTGCACCCGCCGCTCGTTCCCGGTGCTCTGATCGAATATCTCGAACTCGCTCTCGTTCGCTCCGGCCCATCCCTCATCACCCTAGCTTGTGAGTGTGACGCCCGTTGTCAAGGCAAAGGCCCGTCCCCTTTTGTGCCTGGTCAATTGACGACCTTGCTTCGTTTTTGGCTCTACCCACAACTGACTTTTTTGTTCCGGAAAACAGAATCGAAAGGCCTCGCTCGCCATGTCCATAAAGTCCAAGAACCACACGCTCTTTCTTTCCATCCTCCTGTCCCTCGCTCTTGTACAAGCTCATGATGTGAATCTCGGCCGCAGGCATGAGAGTCTCAACCGCATCATCAAGAAGCGTTCGCCCCATCCCGCCAACGACGCTGCTTTCGGTATAATCAACGCCGCTCTAGGGCTTAGTACCACCACTACCGACTCTGCCGTACCCAGTCCCAGCTCTTCAGCGCTATCCGTAGCTGTCTCGGTTCCTGTACTTTCCGCCGCCTCCGCGTCTGCTGTTGCCTCGAGTGCTCCTCCCCTCTCCTCTGCATCAGCATCCGCCGTCTCGTCTGCCTCACTCGTTGCCTCTGCGGTGAGCAGTGACAATCTGCAGTTGTGATCAGAATGATATTGATGTCTTCCATAGAGCGCATCTGCCAGTGCATCGGCGTCGAGCTTAGCAGTCTCTTCGGCCTCTTCGACGTCCATCAGTTCTGTTGCATCGACAACCAAGACTACCGCTGCCGCCCCCCAGACCACGGCCAACGCAGCGACGCAGGCTGCTCAGCAACCTACAGCGGTCGTTGTCGACCAAGTCACTACCGCTCACCGGTCGACTGTGACACAAACGGCGTCCGTGACTGCCACCGCGGCCAGCAACGGACCTGCGGTGCCTGTTACTCAGACTGCGCTTGCTGCGACTAAGAGCACGGTTACGACTGTCCTGATTGCTATCGCAGCGTCTGTCGGAGGAATCGTCATCTTGTGGACAATTTTCCGCAAGTGGAAGCTTGGACACTCGGCCAAGTTCGATGAGCGCATGGCCCCCATCGACTGGCAGCCGACCAATGACGAGGGTATCGTTCCCGGCCACCGTACCCTTTCCCGCAACGCCTCTGTCGCCTCTGGAAACTACAATGACAACCTTGACCACGACTTCACTGCCATGCCGACCAACAACCACTTGGCCCCGGTCGGCGGTTACGCTGATCTTGCTCGCTCGTCTAGCCCGCAGCCGCAGATGGCTGATATGGGCCGAGGTGGAGTTACTCGGGGACCTAGCACCAACCGCGGTCTCCCAGCCGAGGCGTATGACTACAACGGCGACCCTGTCAGGTTTTAGATCGGATGATGTTGTTTGGGGGTTGCGCGCGATGTTACTCATTTACCACGATCCGCTGGACGTTTTGTACTTAGTTTTTCTTTGTTCATTCCAGGGCCTCGACCCCCTTATACCCTTCCGACGTACTTATCGTGGGCATGAATGTGCCTTTGCACAAAATCAACAATGTTTGTTCACGCTTGCATCAACCCGACGCGTGACCGCGTTTATTCTGCGACGCGTCGTCGACTCACCTAATCTCCTCTACCCAGTGTTTGCCTGGCATATGAGTGTCCTCCTTTTCTCTCAGCACTCGTCCAATCCCCTCGAGGCAGGCTCCTCGGACGTGCGCCGCCGATACTCCAAGAGCCTGCGCGCGCTCGACAACCCTCCTTCGTCCGACGACCCTCTGGCAGGATTCCATATGCCAGAGGTCAAAGAATACCACCAGCATCTCACGTCCATAAGGCCGGACTACTCGATACCCAGCAGACTACGCGCAGACCAGGGGGATGACACCATGGCCGTCGACGACGAGGACGAGGACGACGAACAAGGCGCACAAAATGAATCGGACGAGGACGGAGAGGGAGAGGGAGACGACGAGGAGATGGTTTTCCCAGACGAGAGTGACGAAGAGT